GAAACATCAATGGGAGAGAAACATCGATCAGCTGCCTCCTGCACACCCCCTACTGGGGATGTGCCCACAACCAAGGTACATGCCCTTGACCAGAATCGAACCCGGGACCCTTCAGTCCGCAGGCCGACGCTCTATCCACTGAGCCAAACCGGTTTTGGCTCTCTGTACTTTCAGATTTTTTTTTTTTTTTAATAAACCTAAAACTGTTTAAAAGAAAATAAAGTCTATTAATTGAGTATATATGCATTTAATTTATATATATATCGACTGACAGACAGATAGCCATACCCCAGGCCAAACAGCCAATGGGCACGGGAGAGGGATTTGAATCCAGGGCTGCTGCCGCTACAGCCCAGAGGAAGTGCCTGCCGACGTTTCTGCCATCCTTGTCCATGCCAGCCACAGCCTCTGTGTCACTGCAAGCTGCACCTCACAGGGCCAAGCTCAATATTTTGGTTGGCTCCGAGGGAGCAGGAGGACGGAGGAGGGCCAAGATCCCAGGGGAGAGAAGGGGAACCCCCACACGCCATGACAGGTGCAGGGCTGGGGCTGGCAGAGACCTGATCTTCCCCAGCAGCCTGCCTGGGGAAGGAGGCAATGCACAAACGCAGAGAAGGAATCGCTCCCCTCCTCCTTGGCCACGGCTGCCCTCCCTGGGGCCACCACCCCAGGCCCACCCCAGGGCTGCAGGCTGTGGCCGAGCGCAGCCACACGCAGGCAGGGCGATCTCCAGGAGCCTCTGGCCGTGGCTTTCCCTCTGCAGCCCGAGAGGGTCTCAGCACCACCAGAGGACCTCCAGAATCCTTCTGGGCTCGCATCTTCTAACACCCTCTCACCCCCGCTCTCTCCTCGTCCCCAGGAGAGAAGCAGAGATGGGACAGCTCGGGGAGGAGGGACGGGTGATCCCACAGTCCTTGTTCGGTCTGAGACGCAGACCCCCTCCACTCGCAGGGCTAACGGCTGGGAGTCCTGAGCCGGCCACTGACAGGAGGCATCACAACGAGGCCTGCGGCCAGAGGCTGGCCATGACCCTGCCCGTCAGATGGCTGGCATGGAGAGATCTGGGCTGCCCCCATTACATATGGCCTGGGGCAAGCCATTCCACTTCTCTGAGCCTCAGAGAAAGTCCTACATTTTAAAAAAATACATAGATATTTTATTGATTTTTTTACAGAGAGGAACGGAGAGGGATAGAGAGTTAGAAACATCGATGAGAGAGAAACATCGATCAGCTGCCTCCTGCACACCCCCCACTGGGGATGTGCCTGCAACCAAGGCACATGTCCTTGATTGGAATCGAACCCGGGACCCTTCAATCTGCAGGCCGACGCTCTATCCACTGAACCATCCTGGTTAGGGCCAAAGCCCTACATTTTAATGAAATTAACAGAGAAGGAACGCAGGGGCGGGGCAGGCAGGAAACCTGTCACTGAGGCAGCTGCCAGGGGAGAGCCCAGGAGAGGAGGTGCCAGGAGGAGGCCTCCTGGGTCACACGCGCCATTCTTGGGAAAAGTTACTCATGGGCCGAGGCTGGCGCTCTGCAGGAGCCCTCAGGTCAATCCTGCCATAAGGAGGGCCCTTATTAACCTTTTGCCATGGAGGAGGTGTCTGGGCCTCCTGCTCACACAACACTTCTGTCCCAAGAGACCTTGGAGGGCTCTTCCTTGTGGGCAGGCCGGGCTCACTGCATCCCAGGCGCGGGTCCTCCTGGTGGAAGTGCTCCCTGCTTGTCCCCGGGAGCTGTGGCCTCTGGTGCCGCCTGTCCCCTCTCCTAGGCTCTGTAGGTGACTCAGTAAATGTTCGAGAAGCCCCCACAACGTGCCAGGCACTCCTGGGAGCCAAGAAAGATTGACAGAGAATCGAACATGGACCTTCCTTTGAGGGGGGCACCTCTTTGCAGCAACCGCACAATTCTGACCACACGGCCCGTGCTTTGCTGTTAACAGTCTCCCTCGCGTCGTTTCAACGAAGCATCTCGCCTATACTCTGCAGGTGAGTACCAGATCCCCGTGTTACAGCAAGGAGGCAAGGTTGGAGCGGGTCAGGACAGGTCTGAGACGCACCCAAAGTTCAGGCCCTCGGGGGACAGAACCCCATGTTTGGGGCAGTTTGGGGCTTGGGCTCTCCTGGCACAGAATGGATCCTGCTTTCCCAAGTCAGGGGTATGGGCTCGGGCAGAGGGCGGAGCTGAGCATCTCAGACTCAAAAGCTCTAGCTGCAAACAAGAGTCTTAGCATCACCTCACCCAGGACTCACGCCGTTGTGGAACCCCGGTGCGATCCAACGGAACTACCCCTGGGTCTCAGATTATTAAAGCCATCGGAAGCCAGCACCAGGACAGACCTGCCGCCTCCCCATCCTGCCCCGCCCTCCGCACAGAAACCCCAGCAGAGGTCCTATGGTGGCTCCCAGCACAGCGGCCTGCATGGGCTGGCAGGCTCTGAGAAGGCCGCCCTCCCCGGAGGGTCAGTGGTTCACTCCTCAATCAGGCCTGGAGAGAGCCCTCCCGAGAGGAGCGGCCTGCCCCCTGTGACGCCCCCCCCCAAAAAACAAAAACAAAAACAAAAAAAAAAAAACCCGCACAGAAAAACCACCACCACTGGCACTGACAGGCTCTCCCTGGAGCGGGCAGAGAGAGCCAATGTCCCCGGGGCCTTCAGGCTGGGCCTCAGGGGCCAGACCAGGGGCCTGGTGAAGGGGGAGGCTTTCCCTCTCAGCCCCTCCCAGGAGCCCCGGGATTCTGCCACAGGGACCAGGCTGGCTTTTTCCAGCGCTGCCTCTCCTCGAGGCCCAGGGAAGGCGGGCACGTGAAAGAGAGGAGGAGGAGGAGGAAGCTGAGTCTGGCAGGAACTTGCACTGAGCAAACTTGTCCCGGACTAGTTCTTGCCCCCTGAGGGGACGGAGAGCGATGATTTATTTTATTTACTTATGTAAAATAGTGGGGTTATGGCACACACGGGCTTCCTCATCAGGCCCTGGGGTGGGAAGAGGAAAAACAAGCCCTGCCATTTCAGGAGTCTTTCCCTTGCTTCCTTCCACTCACACCTACCTGTCTGGTCTTCCCTCCCCTCTTCTTCCCGCCCCCTTCCACACTGCAGTGTTCCCAGCACACCACCCTGCCCACCTTCCCACAGCCCTGCCTTTGCTGGAGCTGGGCCTCTGCCAGGAAAGCCCTCCCCACCACCCAATACACATCCCATCCATCTTAACAAATGGATCCTGGGCAAAGCTCAGTCTGACACCCTCCACCCCCACCCCCGCCCAGCCCACTGCCTCCTCCCCTCCTGCTCCCGTCTGGCAGAGCTCCTGCGCAGTGATCACAGGCCTGTGTGCTCAGCAATTATCTGCTTCCGGGGCTGCCATGCCCACCAGGCTGAAAGCCTCCCCAGAGGCAGACTTCTGGTCCACTCGGCGAGCAAACCCAGGCCCCGTCCCTGCTGGAGGAGCCAGGCTGCAGGCGGCCGGTGCCCCTGCACTAGGCCAGCACCCAGAGGTGCCCGGGTGTCTGCCAGCCAGAAAAGCTGGTTAGGTGTTCGAAGGAAGGAGAGAAGGAACCAATCAGGGCCTCGTGCAGAGCCCTCTGAGCCTGATCCCTTTCCTTATTTACAGAAAAGTCAAGTTCCTTAGAAAAAGGTCTCAATGAAGTACCTCCCTGCCCCCCCCCAGCCCCCCGTCACACACACACACACACACACACACACACACACACACACACACACACTTTTTCCTTAAGCTGCTGTTATCTGCGTGCACACTTCTGTTCCCCATCTAGCATAAGGGGACCTCAGATTTAGCTCAGAATCCGGACTCCTCACGGTCACCCACATCTCTCTTCGTCACGGTGTCCTGTGAAGAGCAGCAGCCCCCCTACCTCCAGGCAAGGCTGAGGATCTAGGGTAGGGGTGTCGAACTCAATCAGAGAAGGGGCCAAAATCTAAAATCCAGCCTAAATCGCGGGCCGAATGGTTTACTGAACAGTCATAAACTGTCATTGTGATGGAAACGCAGCGGGGTGCAGTGATGACAGCGCGGTGCGGGCCACATTGCAAGGCCTGGCGGGACGGATTTGGCCCGCGGGCCTTGTGTTTGACACATGTGATCTAGGGCCTCAGCGTTCCCACCTCTCTTCCCAACGTCCAGGCTTCCCTCAGGGAACCAAGGAACGCCAGCCTTGCTCCGATGCCGAGGGAGACAGTCCCAGGAGCTGGTGGCCCGCACACCTTCGAGGCGCCTACCCGTTGTCCCAGGACTCAAGGCCTCCCGTGCCTCTATTTGCTCTCCATTCCTTTGGCGGGAGCATCCTTCTCCAGGATGCTCACCGAGAACACACATCTCCTGGGGAATGGGAGGGCGAGGTGAACTCGTGTAGGACGTGGCCGCCGAGAAGCAGGAGGCCACGGGGCTGGGGATGTGCACGGAGAGCCAGGCTGCCTGGGTTTGCAATGCAGCTCTGCCGCTTCCTAACGGAGCAGATTCCTTAATGCCTCCACACCCCGTCTCCTTAGCTACAGTAACCGCCAGCCGCCCGGCTGCGGTGGGGATTACAGGAGCTTACACGTGTAAGGTGCTTAGGTGAGTGCAGGTGCGCTGGAGTAAGCCGGAGTTCTTCCGTCTCTTGCTTGTAAAATGGGACTGTAATCCCACTCCCCCTGCCTGGTTTGTAAACTGTAAAGTGCCGCCCCCATGTGAGAGGCAGACACTGTTTTAGAGCCCATGGGGGCTGCTCCATGTAGCTTGTCTCTAACTCCTTTCTCCCTGCCTCCTTCCTTCTTTAAAAAAAAATGTATTTTTTATTGAGGAAGGGAGAGAAACATCAGTGATGAGCGAGAATCACTGACCAGCTGCCTCCTGCACCCCTCCCCCCCCTTCCTCTCCCCGGAGATCGAACTCGCAATCCAGGCATGTGCCCTTGACTGGAATTGAACCTGGGACCCTTCAGTCCGCAGGCCTACGCTCTATCCCCTGAGCCACACCGGCTAGGGCCTTTCTTTTTTCCTCACCTGGAAGAAGGTACCAGCGGCTGTGAGCTGGGCTCCCAAGGGTGTCCTGTCAGGAAGGCGGTGATGTCACTTCACTGGGAGAGCTGTGGGGACAAGGGGACAAACCCGGTCAGATCGCTGGTCAGTTCCCCTTGCCTTCTCCCCTCCCACCTGCCCCTTAGAGGGCCCTACCCTGTGCCCACCTTGGTGTTGGGTGCAGGGTCCAGGGATGGGCACACCTAGTCTCTGCCCGGAGAAGTCACCAAGCGGGTAGGTGAGCCGAGGAGACACACGTGATCCCGTTGTGGGCCATGAGACCCCTCCACACATGCTGACCACAAACCAGCAGGACCCCAAACCCAGTATAACCTGCTCCCTGGACCATTCTTCCCCCCCTTCCCCGGGATCTGCGGAAACATGATGCCAGGTCCAGCCGCCCTGGGACGAAACCTGGGGCTGTGCCCAGCTCCTGGCGGGCAGAGGTCCTTTTGTGCTGCCCAGGGACCTGGCTACCAGAGGTAGCCGCCACACCAGCTATTCTAAAGCAGCAGCAGAGGGAGGGCTGGAGGGCTGGAGGCGGGGTCTGGGGCACCGAAATTATGTGGCTTACTTCTGACTCATGCACCACCTCCCCCAACACCAGCTCTTACAGCCCACTGGGCAGCCCTCCTGCCCAGAAACGGGAGGAAAGATGGTGCCAACAGGCCACGAGGAGAGAGGGGGAGACGAGGAGAGGGGAAGGGACCCCGGTCAGACTGCAGGCTTCAGAGGATGCTGCCACCTTGCCCTTTAGGGGACACAGGCCGGCAGGGCCGGGGGCCTGCCTAGGCCACCCAGAGTGTCAGAGGCAGAGCCAGGGCTGGAGCCCAGGTTTCCTGGTACCCTGCGGACCCAGCGCCGTGAGAGCTCAGACCTGGTGCCCAGCAAAAGCTCATGCCAACATGAAAACTCTCTCTAACCCAGTCGGGACCTGGAGCCACATGCCAGCAATAAACACACAGCCAAGACACAGCCCTGGATGGGAAGGGGGCAGAGCTGGGCTCAGAGACCGTTTGGAAATGATATTCTGCGACTGAGGGGCAGATTCCTGGGGCACCCGCGGCCCTGTCCCCCCCACCTCCACAGTGCCCGGGGGCACTGCACTTACAGCTTACAAAACACACTTATTTCCTTCATCTACCGCAGGGATCCTCAGACCTCAGTGACAGAGCCTATCCACAGAGCAAGGCTTCTCGGACCTGAATGTGCTAGAAGTGACCTGGAGCTCTCGTTCAAACGCAGCCTGGCCAGGAGGTCTAGGCTGGGGTCTGCGGGTCCACGTCTCTGACAAGCTCCTGGGCGATGCTGAGGCTACAGGTACAGGGGCCTCAGTGTGAGTAGCAGGACCACAGGATGGGCTCCGGGGTCAAACGGCACAAGTTAGAATCTTGGCTCTTACTATGTGGACTTGGTAAGTGCTTCAATCTCCTTATGCAGAAAACAACGGCAATGCCTGCCCATGGAGCTGAGGCTTGAGGATTACGTTATGTAAAATGACTAAAGGGATTATTATTTCAGGTTTTTTACATGGCGCCTCTGAGAGGGAGGCACATGCAGCGAGGGAGCAGAGCCAGAATTCAAACCCAATTTCTCTCCCTCTTCCTTGTAATAAATAAATAAATAAATAAATAAAACGTTTTTATTGATTTTTTAGAGAGGAAGGGAGAGAGATGTAGAGATAGAAACATTGATCAGCTGCCTACTGCACACCTTCCACTGGGGACTTGGTCCGCAACCCGGGATGTGCCCTGACCGGGAATTGAACCGGCGACCTCTTGGTTCATGGGTTGATGTTCAATCACTGACCCACACCAGCCAGCCAAATCCAATTCTCTTCATGTAGATCCTACAACACCAAGCTGCCACAAAATGTCACAGCCAGCATTCCCCCTCCCCACAATCAGACAGACATGGCTACTGCGGCCCCAAGATGGGCAGAGAACAACAGGCCACCAAAAGTCAGCTTCAGAAGCCCAAGTCCATCCCTCCTGGCCCTAGTGCACCTTCTATCCCACATCACTGTCTTGCAAGGAAGAGAAAGTATCACAAATTCATCCTACGGGGTCCCCGCTCTGCTGTCAGCCCTCACCTGGGCAGCAGCTACCCTGGGAACCAGATGTGGGAATGGGTAGCTGGGTGTGGAGGCTGCCCCTCCGCCCACAGCAGCCTGAGTTCCCTGCTCTCTCAGAGCCCTGCCCACCACGCTGGGTGAGGAGAACAGTTTAGCATCCTCCTTCCACCGCCATCTCCTACCTCCATCTCCTACCTCCATCTCCTACCTCCAGTCTATGGCACCGCTCAGGCTCAGGGTCACCCAGCTGGGGTCGCAGGCAGAGGGTGGCTCGGCAGGGGCCTGCCTCCACCCCCTCCTTGGCTTCCCAGCACGAGCCTGTGAGTCACCTGAAGGAAGTGCTCAGCCCCAAACAGGAAGTGGCTCTTCAAACAGAAACCCCCTGTAGGATGTCCCCCGAGCCCTGTGGTGGGGGGCCTGGGTAGCAGAGCCTGAGGAAGGGAAGTTGATTGGACAGTCATATTTTACCTGAAACTCAAACACGGCACGCATCTTCCCGCCGTGAAACCTCACCAGGGAACTTCTCTGCTTAGTAGATACGTACATCGGCAGCCTTCCCTGAGCCTCACTTCCCTCATCGGTAGGAGCAGGGGGCTGTGCTACAAGACTATTCCGGCCTGGTGTTCTTTAATGAAATGAAGAATGCAAGAAGTGAATATGGGTTTTAAATAAATGAACAAATGCATAGATGAGTGAATGACGATATCTAGATTTAAACTACAGCTCTAGCCATCCTTGACTCTAAACTGGAGTAAGTGGGTTGGAAATTCATTACTTTCCTTTTTAAAAAAAATATATTTTATTGGATTTTTTTTTTTTTTTTTTTTTTTTTGAGGAAGGGAAAGGCATAGAGAGTTAGAAACATCGATGAGAGAGAAACATCAACCATCTGCCTCCCTCACACTCCCTTCTGGGTATGTGCCTGCAACCAAGGTACATGCCCTTGACCAGAATCCAACCTGGGACCCTTGAGTCCGCAGGCCGATGCTCTATCTACTGAGCCAAACTGGTTAGGGCTCATTATTTTACTTTTTATTCGTATTTCTTAAATGTATGTACAGCTCACATTCATTCCAATGTTAAATATGAGAAGTAATGTGGGTCCCTATTTCTAAGTTTGGTGATGGTTTTGTGACCAGAAATAGGCTGTAGGAAGTTAACCTTTTTTATAGCAACTAGCCTCTGCCCCAATTGGCTTCGATAGACGTTGTTTCACTTAAAGTGGCAGTTCCCACGAGCCTGTAAACAGCAGTGAGTGAACACTGTACCTCATCTGTTTCCCCGTAATGCTGAGCATCCTTTTACTGGGCGGGGGAGGGGGCTTTTTCTCCCTGTTCCAATTTGTGGTCCTAAAAGTCCTTGGGAATTGGTGTTGCTATTCACGGTTAATGTGCACGGTGGCTGAGGAACATTTTGTGGCCCAGTAATTCCCCCGCTCCCTTATCTGCGGTTTCCCTTCCCACAGTCTCAGTGATCGAGGTCAACCACGGTCCAAAATTATTAAATAGAAAATCCCTGAAATCAACAATTCATACGTCTTAAATTGCTCTCCATTCTGGGTTGCACGAGGAAGCGCCACATGGTCCCACTCCATCTGGCCCTGGACATCCATCACCCTTTGTGCATGCCTTGTGCACACTGTCTATGCTTCCTGCCCTTAGCCACTTAGCAGCCCTCTGGCCATTGGCTACTACAGTATCGCAGCGCTTGGGGTCAAGTCACCCATATTTCACCTAATAACGTGGAAGCACAGGGATGCTGGAAATGCAGATATGTCAGAGAGAAGCCAAAAGATGCTTCCTTTCAGTAAAGAGGTGAAAGTTCTCAACATAATAAGAAAAAAAAAAAAAGAATGCTTTATGCTAGTTTGCTGAGAGACCACATTCACATAACTTTTATGGCAACACGGTGTTATAATTGTTCTATTTTATTATTGGTTATTACTATGCGTCTCTTACTGTGCCTAATTTATAAGTTAAACTTTATCATGGGTATGTAAGAGTAAGAAAAAGTATAGTATATATAGGTGACCTTGAGCAACACAGGTTTTGAAAAAATCCCATAAATAAACATAGACCCACACAGCTCAAATCTGTGTTGTTCAAGAGTCAGCTATACTTTCAATCTGCAGCTGGGAATCTGCGTATGTGGAGGGCTGACTTAAATTATAGGTGGAGCCAAAACAGGTTTGGTTCAGTGGATAGAGCTTCGGCCTGCGGACTGAAAGGTCCCAGGTTCGATTCCGGTCAGGGGCATGTACCTTGGTTGCGGGCACATCCCCAATAGGGGATGTGCAAGAGGCAGCTGATCGATGATTCTCTCACATCGATGTTTCTAACTATCTCTCTTCCTCTCTGTAAAAAAAATCAATAAAATATATTTTAAAAAATTATAGGTGGATTTTTGATTGCGAAGGATCGGTGCCCCCAATCCTCAAGTTGTTCAGGGTCAGTTGTGCAGGGCTTGGGGCTATCTGTGGTTTCAGGCTTCCACTGGGGACTTGGAATGTATCCCCTGTGACTAAGGAGGACTGTGATATTTAACAACTCCTATTACTCAAGTCAACGTACCGTGAAGTGTGATACCAACTCTTTACGTTGGCAACTAGATGAACAGTAAACACTAAAACAACCTGATGGCCGGGCCTCCTGGCCTGGGAGCCAGAGGCTGCTGGGCCCTCCCACCAGGTCCCCTCACAGATAGGGCTGGAATGTAAGGGACCTTAAGAGGCACCAGGGCTGTGAGAAATGCCAGGCAAGTCCTGGTCACTGCCCTTGAGGGCATGTGAGTTGCCCTGGACTTTCTGAAAGGCAGCCTCTGGGGAAGGCAGGGCTGGCTGGCCACTGAGCTGATGGTGCTCAATGGGTGGCCTGCTCCCCACAAAAGTGAGAGCCAGGGGGCAGGCAGTGGACAGGCAGGCCTGGCCCAAACTGTGCAGAACCCAGAGCAAAAATATAAACATCTTTGTCATATTTTTGAAACTGTTGAATAAAA